TTTCATCCATAGTTTGGTGATCTATAAAGCCACGTCTATGGATTATAAGGACAGGTGTGCCATTTTGAGGTGTTGATTTGAGTCTTGAATATATATATATGTAAATATTCTTCAGAGTTACAAGAAATATACAAAAATCTCATAATTCTTTCAATAATATCTCAAATTATAAATTTTACTCATTATTTCTATAGATGTCTTTTCTATATATGGCAGTGTCTCTAGAAAAGATGACTCGTCTTTTTAACTTTAGGATAATTCTGGACACACATATGGATTTGAAGGCTCAAATTTCGATGGAGAGCTGTGTACACTATTACTGACTAAATAATTGCCGTCTTTGAGACTAAGGTTCAATTGGTCCAAACATGGTGCAACTGTTCCTTTAATTCTAGGGAAAAAAGAAAATATTTTCTATACCAGCCGACCTGATAGATTGAATTTGATAAATAATATCATTAATTCTGACTGCTAACTGTATGTTATATATCATACTTGCCTGGTAATTAACACTGGTAGAACCAATAACAATGTTAGTCACACCAAATGTCATCCAAGTGAAGTATGAATCAGTTTTGAAAGTACTAAATAACCTAAGGGTAGGGTAAAGTGAAAAATATATACATTTTAAAGAACTTAATATTAGAATAATTTTTAATAAACTATTATAGAGGTGGGTTGATTTATACATGCTCAGCCTCCGGCTTTACTTAAATAATGCCTCTCGTCCACCATTCATACTTCACTTGAATGAGGAGACATTATTTTCCGTACAACCTTCAGTTTTCACATGTTTAAAAAGCAACTTCAAAGCTTCAAAAGTGGTTCAAACAAGGCTGAAAAACCACTGACACATCAACACCAAAAAGGTATGTACAAACATAGTTTCAACTCTACACTGCTGATGCAAATGAAAAATCTTTCGACTGTATTTCTCTGAAATAAAATTTATGAAAATTCTTTGTGTTTCCCCTCCATGTCAAGTCATATTGCTTATTGGTACCTGTTTTACATGAAGACAATATGATGGTGATAGATCACTCCTGATGTCCTTGTATTTCAAGATGTCGTCTGAGACAATAACTGCAACTAAAGATAGTTTCTGTTGAAGAGGATGGCACGGGTTATTGTAAGGTAAAGTCAACGTATCTTTGTGTCTTGGTATCCTAATAGGAAAAGAAACAATTATTTCTAAGAGTATTGGAATCCAAGGTTGAGAAATCCAATGGGGAATAATTCAAATAACTAATTTAACATTATTTGATATAATTTTATTTACCACCCGAAAAATCAGATTAAAAAGTGGGAACAGATATGGACAAAACTCTTGCCTTGATAACGAGAAAGCATGCCACTTAAAGCAACCAGGTTGTGGAAACCAAGAGACAAAATGTTCTAGTCTATAATTCAGTATGGATGCAAACATATCCACATCAGGTACAAAGGACTGTCTTTAACGTCCATTCTATATTATTATAAAAATTCCTAGTAAGAGAATCAGCTTGAATATACACTACAGACTGAAAAATATTCCTATTCAATGCCCAGAGCCATATATCTTTTGAAATTCTGCCAAGAAGCCATTCACCCCATATCATTGAGGTAGACAATAGCAGAAATATTATCAGTCTGAAACTGAATATGACTATTAGATTCATGGCAATACAAGCTATGTAATGTATATGACCAGACGTAGCCAATATTTCTAGAACATTAATATGAAATTGTGTTTCTTTACGATTCCATCTAATTTCTGGATTCACCAGAGGGGGTAGCTCACATTTACTTATGATAGTTCCTGTTACATAAGGCCCTCAAGACGGAATTTTTTATTTTGGCAACTGCCACAAAACAGATTGATTGGTACCATCAATAAAATACATCATTGTTAGAAACCAGGCATTGCTCATTCTACTATTGAAATCTTAACCGATTTGTTCATTATCTGAATTATCAAATTCCACACGAATATTAGGTCTGTTTTCTTACAGATATTGATTGTACTCATCACTGTTATCACATTGTTTAAAGTCATACTACGTCTTAGAATGAACATAAAATTTTTAATTTTTTAACGTGGCCAATAAGAGGATATATTCATCAGTAGATATACCTGGTGTCATAAATAACATAACAGGATCCTTATATAATCCGATAAATCAAAAAAATGTAATAAAAATACAATTAATTATTGAAAAACGTTTAATATCAAGATTAAGCATTTTTCACTGCCTGCCTGCCGGTCTAAAATTGTTTGTGAACACATAAGAGAGCTGGTTTCTTGATAGGTTTTGACGAAACTTGGTCTGAGTGTTTGTAATCACCCAAGGATAAACCCTATGTAGCCGTCGCCCCTGTCTGTCTGTCTGTCTGTCTGTCCGTAAATATGTAACTGTCTTAACACAAAGAATTGCCACTTGCTGCCACTCAAAAGATTCAATTCTATATGGATTAAATAAAACTTGACATGTTAAATTAATCCCACTTGAACAAAAGGTGTAAACAGTTCAGCTTCTCCTTTCTCTCTATATTTCTCCGGGAGCCACGGTGGCTCAGTGAGTTAGATGCTTGCTAGCTAACCTGAAGGTCCAGGGTTCAATCCCGGCATAGGTCAAGATAATACCTTCCGATTTTTCAACCCGGTTTCCCCCTGTCAGTGATGCAGGTAAGAGGGGCTGACATGGAAAAAGCGTCTAGTCGTTCGAATGGGACATTAAACCGAGGCCCCGTGTGTGTTACAGACTGTGTACGTTAAAGATCCCTTGATTTCTCTCAAAGCACCCTGCATGGCTTTGCCCGTCGTCATTAGCCCACGTGGTGCAGAAAAGTAGGACGTAAAACTCCATTCATTTCATTTCTATATTCCTCCATTGTAAAAGATCTGTTCACTTTCAGTTGAATTTGATGTTTTATCTCTTACAGATTCTGTGTCTAGTTTACTCTCAGGCCTTGTTTTATCAGTGTCTCTTTTCTTCCAGATCTCAACTTTCCGTTCAGATATTAATTACTGTTGATGATCAGACACAAGACTATAGTTGTTTGATTTGTTGAGTTTCACAGTCATTCTACAAGGAAGATAAAATTTAACAAAAGTATTTAGAAACCGTAAGTGACGTCATCCTATTGATAACACTTTTATTTCTTAACAAATCCCTGAGAAATTATATTCAAAATACCTGGAAAATTATATTTAAAATGCCAGAGAAATTATATTTAAAATACCTGGAAAATTATATTTAAAATGCTTGGAAAATTATATTTAAAATGCCTGGAAAATTATATTTAAAATGCCTGAGAAATTATATTCAAAATGCCTGGAAAATTATATTTAAAATCCCTGAGAAATTATATTCAAAATACCTGGAAAATTATATTTAAAATGCCTGGAAAATTATAGTTAAAATGCCTGGAAAATTATATTTAAAATGCCTGAGAAATTATATTCAAAATGCCTGGAAAATTATATTTAAAATGCCTGGAAAATTATATTTAAAATGCCTGAGAAATTATATATGAAATGCCTGGAAATTATATATAAAATGCCTGGAAATTATATATAAAATGCCTGGAAATTATATTAAAATGCCTGGAAAATTATATTTAAAATGCCAGAGAAGTTATATTAAAAATTGTATTTCATATAAATGGTGAAGTTATGTCACTATATATCTTTCAAGTGGGCCATATCTGTGTTGTTTACTGTCTTCCACTATAGTATAGTGTCGTCTGCTATCTACTTCAGTATATTACCTGCTATCTACGTCAGTAGTGTGGTCTGCTATAGTAACAATCATCTCTCTCTTTGTTTCTGTGCTGAATCTAAACCTTCGTTAATCAAAGGTGTGTTCACATTTCTTGTAAACAGGAAAGGGGCTACATATTTTATACGATCTACACACTTGTAGGCACGATAGAGACTACAGTTTTTATCATATCTTAATGAAACTTAGTATGCATACATATATTGGTGAGATCTCAGTCACTTTCGAATTTGACTTGTTTTGAATGAACAGTTTTCGAGTAAATGCCATTGACTTTGGAAATACACATCAAAAATTTGTTAACACAATAGAGATTTCAGTTTTTACCTGATCTCGATGAAACTTTGCATTCTTGTATATATTGATGAGATCTCGGTCAAGTTCGAGTTATATTCTTTTTTTTTTACTTGTGTCCAATCTGTGCTTCTGCTTCTGAATATCATATAATGATATATGAACATTCTAGCTCATAGACACAGAATATGATATACTAAGTCATGGTCATGATATATTAACATTCTAGCTCATAGACCCAGAATATGATATACTAAGTCATGGTCATGATATATTGACATTCTAGCTCATAGACACAGAATATGATATACTAAGTCATGGTCATGATATATTAACATTCTAGCTCATAGACTCAGAATATGATATACTAAGTCATGGTCATGATATATTGACATTCTAGCTCATAGACTCAGAATATGATATACTAAGTCATGGTCATGATATATTAACATTCTAGCTCATAGATTCAGAATATGATATACTAAGTCATGGTCATGATATATTGACATTCTAGCTCATAGACTCAGAATATGATATGCTAAGTCATGGTCATGATATATTAACATTCTAGCTCATAGACACAGAATATGATGTACTAAGTCATGGTCATGATATATTGACATTCTAGCTCACAGACACAGAGTATGATATACTAAGTCATGGTCATGATATATTAACATTCTAGCTCATAGACTCAGAATATGATATACTAAGTCATGGTCATGATATATTAACATTCTAGCTCATAGACACAGAATATGATGTACTAAGTCATGGTCATGATATATTGACATTCTAGCTCATAGACACAGAATATGATAAACTAAGTCATGGTCATGATATATTAACATTCTAGCTCATAGACACAGAATATGATATACTAAGTCATGGTCATGATGTATTAACATTCTAGCTCATAGACACAGAATATGATATACTAAGGCATGGTCATGATATATTAACATTCTAGTTCATAGACACAGAATATGATATATTAAGTCATGGTCATGATGTATTAACATTCTAGCTCATAGACTCAGAATATGATATACTAAGTCATGGTCATGATATATTAACATTCTAACTCATAGACTCAGAATATGATATACTAAGTCATGGTCATGATATATTAACATTCTAGCTCATAGACACAGAATATGATATACTAAGTCATGGTCATGATGTATTAACATTCTAGCTCATAGACACAGAATATGATATACTAAGTCGTGGTCATGATATATTAACATTCTAGCTCATAGACTCAGAATATGAT